TGGGCACCATAGACATTTTAACGATATTTATCCTTCCAATCCATGAGCATGGAATGTTTTTCCATCTCTTTGTGCCTTCCTCAATTTCTTTCATAAGTGTTCTACAGTTTCTAGAGTATATATCCTTTACCTGTTTGGTTAGGTTTATGCCTAGGTATATTATGGTTTTTGGAGTCCTTGTAAATGGAATTCTCATTATGGAACATCATTAATATTAAGATAAATAGTAAGACATCCAAATCTAGACCCATAATGGCATAACTGCAATAAACACACAAAGAAAAAGAATTCTCCCCCCCCCAAGAGTAAAATCTTTAAAGCAACCAAAAATTGTGGGGAAAAGGAACAGAGTGGGGAACAGATTATGTTCAAAGGAGAAACAGGTGGACAGCTATGAAAGAGCAGTTATGAAAGACAAAGGGCAGTGGAATGACATTTTCTGTATGATCAAAGAAAATAACTACTCACCTAGGATTCTCTATGCTGTGAAAATGTATATCAAGAGTAAGAGGAAATAAAGACATTGTTATTTATTTTTTATTTTTATTTATTTATTTTTAAAGATTTTATTTATTTATTCATGAGAGATAGAGAGAGAGAGGCAGAGGCAAAGGGAGAAGCAGGCTCCCCGTGGAGCAGGGAGCCTGACGCGGGACTCGATCCCAGGACCCTGAGATCATGACCTGAGCCGAAGGCAGACGCTTAACTGACTGAGCCACCCAGGCGTCCCTTATTTATATATTTTTTAAGATTTTATTTATTTATTTGAAAGAGAGACAGCACAAGTAGGCAGAGAGGCAGGCAGAGGGAGAGGGAGAAGCAGGCTCCCTGCCGAGTAGGGAGCCCGATGCGGGACTCGATCCCAGGACCCTGGGATCATGACCTGAGCCAAAGGCAGCTGCTTAACCGACTGAGCCACCCAGGCGCCCCTGTTATTTATTTTTTAAAGATTTTATTTATTTGGAAGAGAGTGAGAGAGAAGGAGCGTGAGAGGGAGAATAAGTTGGGGGAGGGGCAGAGAGAGAGGGAGAAGCAGACTCCACACTGAGCAGTGAGCCTGAAGTGGGGCTCAATCCCAGGACCCTGGGATCCTGACCTGAGCCAAAGACAGACACTTAATGAACTGAGCCACACAGGAGCCCAATAAAGACATTTTAAACAGAGTTTCATTACCTGGCAGGTCTCACTCATGGAAATTTTAAAGAATGTACATAAACAAACGGAAGAAAAAGAATCCCAAATAGAAATTCTGAGATGCAAGAGGACAGGGAAAAAAAATAAATATGTAGGTCAGTTTAAATGGATGCTGACAGTATCATATAAAAGTTATAAAAATGTCGAGTATTTTTTAAAGATACAAGAGAGAATTAAAACACAAAGCAACAATACACATAAGTTTGGAGCCATGCAAATTGAGTTAAAAGTATTCAAAACTCCTTGCATTATCATTATCCATGAACAGCGAGGAGAAAATCCTCACCAAGATATCATCATATCAAGAGTGGCAATGTATGCAACAGACGAATGAAATCACAACTAAATTCAGTTTACCTAAGAAATGCAAGGCTGGTTTCACATGAGCACATAATGTAATTCACCACATTGAAGAATTCTTTAAAAATTATCTCAATATATGCAAAACAAACATCTATTATCTTTCAACATTCATGATAAAACTTAGAAAACTAGTAGTATAAGGGAACTTTGTTAATATAATTGTAACAGAAAGACCCTAGGTGACCCCATAATAAATTCCCTGTGGTGTTCTCAGCTTTTATAATCCTTTTCCCTTAAGTGTAGCCAAGATCTGTGACTTGACTCTAGCCATTAGAAAATGGCAAATGTAACGGAATTTTGCAGATACCATTGTTAATTTTGAGTTCATCAGAAGGGGATTATTCTATGTAAGCCTGATTTAAGCAGGTAAAGCCCTTAAAAGAGGACTGAGCCCTCTCTGCAGTGAAATTCTCCTTGTTGGCCTCATGAAGTAAGCAGCCATATTGGGGAAGCCTACATGGCGAAGAACAAGGAACAGCCTTGCTGTAGACTGAATATTTGTTCCCCCCACTTCCAAATTCATGTATTAAATCTTAATGTTCAATGTAATAGTATCTGGAGGTGGGGGCCTTGGGAAGTGATTAAGTCATGAAGGTGGAGCCCTCATGAATGGGATTAGTGCCCTTATAAATAAAGGATACCTGAGAGAGCTCCCTTGGCCCTGTGCCTTATGAGGAAACAGGAGGAAGACCAGCATCCGTGAACCAGGAAGCCAGCCCTCACTGGACACTGAATCTGCCAGTGCCTTGATTTTGGACTTCCCAGCCTCCAGAATTGTGAGAAACAATAAAATAAGACAGCTTAGCAAGATAGGTGAATCTAAGCTCAATATGCAAAATAATTTTATTTCTAGAAGCTAGCAACAGACAGGAAATGAAATTGATTTTTAAAAATAATATTTATAATGGGGTCAAAGTATTAAATAACTGGGAATAAATCTAAAAAATATCTGCAGGACCTTTATAGGAAATTTTTTAAACATTGAGAGTTAATCAAATAAATACTGTTAGGAAAACTCAGTATTATGTCTTTTCCCTATAAACTATCTATAGATTCAATGCAATTCTAATCAGAATCATTGCTTTGTAAAGCTTGACAAGTTGATTATAAAAGACCTATGGAGCCTTTTCCCCCTTTCTTCTTTCTATTCCCAAATTTTCAGTTCAAAAGCATAGAAACAGAAACAGGGACCTGTGGTGGCCCAGAGTGAGGTGTTGGAGCCTGAATAGAATGGGGAAGGCATAAACGTGGGAGAGCCACCTGCACAGTGTTGGAACACCCCTGAAAAGACAACAACATAGAATGTGCTATCGTAGACTGAAGGGAAAGAACAGCCCAGCATGGGTTTTCAGAGCCTGTGGGGGCAGTCAGTCATCTGCAGAAGACGTGGCCTGGCACAGCATGTCTGAGAAAGGAGATATTTACATGTCTCAAAGTACTTCCCCTAAAATACTAATTAATTATAAAGTGGAAAGTTAACATTCCAGAGGAGAAACCTGGCAGATATTACCTCCAGGATCAATGCTAACATGACCAACAATGGGACAAATCAAAGTTGTAGGTCACATGATAGGATGCAATGAGAAGAGTAGAGAACCACTTCATAGTCTTGCTAAAAATGTATGATCTGAATTTTTGTAAAAAAGATTTTATTTATTTATTCATGAGAGACAGAGAGAGAGAGGGAGAAGCAGGCTCCCAAGGAGCAGGGAGCCCGATGTGGGACTTGATATCGGGACCCTGGGATCATGACCTGAGCCGAAGGCAGATGCTTAACCATCTGAGCCACCCAGGCACCCCTGATGTGAATTTTTTAAAAGTTGTTTTTTTTCTTGGTGCTGTTTTTTTCTTTTTAGTAATTTGTCTGAGAGAAAACACAAGTAGGGGGAGCGGCAGGCAGAGGGAGAAGCAGGCTTCCCACGGAGCAAGGAGCCTGCTGCAGGACTTGATCCCAGGACACCAGGATCATGACCTGAGCCGAAGGCAGTTGCTTACCCAACTGAGCCACCCAGGCGTCCCTAATCTGAATTTTATCATAAGGAGACCTAAGAAAAAACCACATTGAAAGACATTCTACATTACTGGAATTAACTGTTTAAAAGATTAAAAGTCATGAAAATTAAGGAAAGACTAAGGAACTATTCTAAACTGAAGGAATTAAGAGGCACAACATCTGAATTAAATACATTGCTCTGAACAGGACCTTCCTTGTGTGTAGGATATTACAGACAAGTGACAAAACTTAAAAATATGAGGAATAAATGAGAGAATTTACAGGGTGCCTGGGTGGCTCAGTTGGTTAAGCGTCTGCCTTCGGCTCAGGTCATGATTCCAGGGTCCTGGGATCGAGCCCCATATCGGGCTCTCTGCTCAGTGGGGAGCCTGCTTCTCCCTCTCCCTCTGCCTGCCGCTCTGCCTACTTGTGCTCTGTCAAATAAATAAAATCTTTAAAAAAAATGACAGAATGTATAGTTGACATGGTTTGAATGGGTGCACTTATATGCAGATGCTTTCAATAAATACATGATAGTACTGTAAATGTATTTTCTCTTATGATTTCAATAACATTTTCTTTTCTCTAGTTTACTTTATTGGAAGAATATAATATGGAATACATATAACATACAAAACACAGCTTCATTGACTGTTCTGGTACAGTACGTTTTCTGGTCAACAGCAGATTATTAGTGAAGTCAAAAGTTGGGGAGTCAAAAGTTATTCACGTGTTTCTGACTGCAAAGGGTCAGTGCCCCTAACCCCCGCATTATTCAAGGGTTAATTGTATTAGAGCTAATTGTCTGATTGTCAAGGTCGTATTTTTAAGTTTTGTCACTTGTCAGGGTTGTACAGTAGTCATGTGGAATGTACTGATTTGTAGGATATAAATGCTATGGCAATCAGGCATAATTTAACAATTTACTTGCAAATGGTTCTGGGGGAAAAAGTTCTTTTTTCTTTCTCTAATTTTTCTTTTCTCTAATTTTAAGACTGTTTTCAAAAAGTAAATCAAAAATAAACAGAAAAGGTGAAAAGCCTTAGGCAAATCTTATTTCACCATGAGGAAAGAGCTATGAATCAGTACTTAAAATTGAAATTATACATAGGTTTTATGGCACTATAAAAATACATACAAACATTGACAATAGCCTTAGCAGCAATATATCAAAATGATGTCTGTGTAAATCTCTAGGTCCATATGTAGTAATAAAAACTGGAAAATACAAAAAGGCTATCAATTAACACCCCAGAAGTACTAATGACAATTTGGTGGGTTGGATGCTCTTTAAAAAGCTGGTATTTGGGCAGCTTGAATCATGTAAAACCCAATAGTGCTGGTCTGCACCTATAAAACCTGCTTAAAAGTTAATTAGGTGCCAAGAAACATAGCTTAAAATATTATATAAACTTTCATTACACACATGATCCAGAACTATTTTCTTTTATTCAAGATTTTCACACGATACATTTAGTAGGACACAATTAAGATGTTATACAAACATCCAGTAAATAAATTTTTACTGTTTGTCTTTCAGAACATATAATTTTTCTTCAAAGTCTGTAAAAATTCTTTTGAAGATTTCACTAGTAGATCGTCATTTACATGTGATTCATAAGTAGATTCTAAAGAGGAGGTCATACACCTTGAGTCTGATTCTAATTCAACAGCAGCTGAAAAGAAAAAGAATTACATTCTTTATCTAAAATACTTTGTAGTTAACTACAAGTTAGTAAAAAACAAAGTTGAAGCCTTATGAGTGTTAAGAAGAATGAAAAATATCTACATAGAACTACAATATAAAATACAAGATTACTTTTAAATATATTTTGCTCATGGTTGCCCACCGAGTTAATTGCTATTGTGGATAAATATCAGAGCTTCTAGTTTTCTCATTACAAGATGAAATTACAAGATGATGACAGAGCCCACCCCTGAACAATCATATACTAGAAACTGAAAAATCAAACAGGCAATTTTAGAGTTGAATATACCATGATAGGTATAAAACAAGACGCTATAAGAACACACAAAAAGGACAATCTAGTTTTCTATTAATACTGTCTGCTTCTTGGTGGAGGTGATATGTAAGTTGATACCTGAAGTACAAGGAGAAAGTGTGTCACGTGGAGGGAAGACACATATACAAAGAACATATACAAAGAGTGAGGAAGAACACTTGTGGAATTGCAAGTAGTCTACGCTGAAGAGGTGCTAGAGCAAAGCAACAGAGTAGGGTAAGTAGCGACAGAGAAGGCTGAATAATCTGGCAAGAACCAAATTGATTTGGGTGTTTTTATTCCGTATAAGGAACTTGGAATTTTACTCAATGGCAAAAGGTAAGCCAATGACAAAATCAATGACTGGAGATTTAAATATCACCTGTCAAGTGACAGCCTCTATGGACTATAATTGCTTAACTATTACTAAGACAAGCCTGAGTTTTTTGGTCTTATACCACTAGCAGAAACAAGAATTTGAGAAAGCCCACATATTCAGGTTGACGGTTCCATAGGAATGGCAGAAGTGAAGGAAGATTATAGCCAGAAATAATAACAGATACATAGACATTTGGAGATTTTTAAAAAAGTCTGAACGAACATGATGACTAAATGAGGAATAAGTATGTTCTTCATTATGTTAATGTTTTACATTTTTATTGGCTACATATTAAAAAAATTTAATGTAGTACTTATTATCCAAACCATGGAAAGGGATGCCATTTATTATTCATAGTTTATTTCAGAAATCAATGACCATCTTAATTCATAAATTTGGCAACATACCTTCTTCTAGTTCTCTAGTTATATTCCTTTCCATCTCCTGCTGCATCTGAAATAAGTCAAATATTATTTATAATGTTCAAGTTAAACAAGAGACATTATTGTAGGAACTGTATATAGCTTATGAAATGTGGTCTTTAAATAACACTTTTAGAGACTAAAACTAAGTTAGGGATTGCTTAACTAGAAAGATAATCACATAAATAAAATAAATCCCTACTTATTTTTTTTAAGATTTTATTTATTTATTTGAGAGAGAGAGTGAGAGAGAGAAAGAGCACAAGAGGGGGGAGCGGGAGAGGGAGAAGCAGACTCCCTGCTGAGCAGGGAGCCCGATGCGGGACTCGATCCCAGGACTCCAGGATCATGACCTGAGCCAAAGGCAGTCGCTTAACCAACTGAGCCACCCAGGCGCCCAAATCCCTACTTATTTTAATCTTAGGTAACTGAGAAGAAACATATGTAATGCTATTTAGATGAATCTGATAAAAAGTACAATTAATACTGGTCTATTGAATATACATACTTTCTGGAAGAAGAGGAAGATGGCAGAAGAGTAGAGGACCATAGTTTTGTCCGGTCCCTGGAATTCAGCTGGATAGCTTTCAAATCATTCTGAAGACCCGTGAACTCAACCTGAGATCTAAGAAAAGAACTGATGCAATTCTACAAATAGGAAAGCGACCACTTTCTGCAAGGTAGGAGGTGTAGAGAAGCGAATCGGCGGTGATCCATGGGAAGATAAACCGTGGGGGGAGGGAGCCTCCATAAGCCGGCTATCAGAAAGTGATAAAGCAGTGGTGTGCAAAGCAGAACTTTTAGAAGTCTGCTCCGGTGAGGGACATCCCTGCTTGAAAGGCGCTCAGGTGCAGAAGCAGGGTGGAATCCTAGGTGGGACAGCCTTATCTCAGGATCCCCCAGGGTCACAGAAAGAGTGGGGGTGCCTGAGTATGGGAGAGTTCCAGGCATTTGAGCAGTGAAGCCAGCTGCAATCAGAGAGCTGAGGAGGGGGCTTTCAGCTCAGTGTTGCCATAAACCACAAACCGCAGCCAGTTGGGTGACTGCTCTCAGAGCAGGGGCCGTACAAGCGGCAGAACCAGGGCAAGACCTCCCTTCCTCCCCCAGGAGGAGTGGCACGAATGCATGCCACAGGAGACTGCAAAGTTTGGAAACTCCAAAGGGGGTTGCATGGCTGAGATAAAAATGTTCAGTCACAGGCTGGGTGTACACAGAATGCAGACAGAAAGCAGGGAGACAAGAGTGATTGACAGCTTCTCCATGAGGGCACACTGAAGAGTGGAGGGTGCCAGCTCTCAGCTCCAGGGCTGGACATTGGGAGGCTGACATTTTCATTCTCATCCTATAAAGTGGTGCAGAAAGCCTTCAGGGAACAAAAGCCACATAGAGCAATCCCGAGGCCCGGACTTAGCCTGGCCCCCTGGCAAGGGCAGTGCAGTATTGCTGGAGCAAAGACCCCTGAGAATCAGCACCACAGGCCTCTCCTCCAGAAAGTTAGCAAGAACATGCAGCTAAGACCAAGTTTACCGATCACACAGAACTTCAAAACTCCAGCACTAGAGGAAAAGACTATATAGAATTCATGGCTTTTTCTTGTGATTCCTTAATCTTTCAATTGTAATTTTTTTTTCCTTTTCAACCAATTTTTTATCAACTCGTTTTTTAAAACTTTTTCAATGTTCATATTTATAATTACATTCTATACTTTCATTATATTTGATTTTATTTTTGCATATATATGTTTTTCTTTCTTTACAATTTTGGGATGTAGTTTCTTCTAACAAACAGACCAAAATACATCCAGAATCTACTGTGTTGCTCTGTTATCATCACCTGTCTGATTATATTCTCTTTTGCCTTTAATTCTTATTTATTTATTTTTTTGGTTTCAGATCTCCTCTGATTTGTTAAGAGTAGATTTCTCTGGGGTCGTTGTTGCTATTTTAGTATTTTGTTCTCTCATTCATCTATTCTTCTCTAGACAGAATGACTAGGTGGAAAAACTCACCTCAAATAAGAGAACAAGAGATAGTACTGACTGACAGGGACCTAATCAGTATGGATAAAAGTAGGATGTTGGAATTAGAGCTTGGAATAACAATTATAAAGATGCTAGCTGGGCTTGAAAAAGCACAGAAGACACTACAGAATGCCTTTCTGGAGAAATAAAAGAACTAAAAGCTTAACAAATCGAAATCAAAAGGCTATTAATGAGATGCAATAAAAAATGGAGGCTCTACTTCTGGAAAACAGTATGGAAGTTTCCTCAAGAAGATAAAAATAGAGCTACCCGATGACCCAGTAATTGTACTACAAGGTCTTTACCCCAAAGATGCAAATGTAGTGATCAGAAGGGGCACCTGGACACCAATTTTTATAGCAGCAATATCCACAATAGCCAAACTGTGGAAACAGCCCAAATGTCCATCGACAGATGAATGGATAAAGAAGATGTGGTATATATAAATACAATGGAATATTACTATGCCATCAAAAGGATGAAATCTTACAATTTACATTGACGTGGATGGAAATGGAGGGTATTATGCTGAGAGAAAAGTCAATCAGAGAAAGACAATTATCATATGGTTTCATACATATGTGAAATATAAGAAAAAGTGCAGAGAATCGTAGGGGAAGGGAGAGAAAACTAAAATGGGAAGAAACCAGAGACGGAAACAAACCATGAGAGACTCTTAACTATAGGAAACAAACTGAGGTTTGCTGGAGGGGAGGTGCGTGGGGGGATGGGGTAAGTGGGTGATGGGCATGAAGGAGGGCACGCAATGTGCAGAGCACTGGGGGTTATATACAACTGATGATTAACTGAACACTCCATCTGAAACTAATGATATATCATATATCAGCTAACTGAAGAGAAATTGTAGGGATGCCTGGGTGGCTCAGTTGGTTAAGCGGCTACGTTCGGCTCAGGTCATAATCCCAGGGTCTTGGGATCGAACCCATGTTGGGATCCTTGTTCAGCAGGGAGTCTGCTTCTCCCTCACTGTGCTCTCTCTCTCACTATCTCTGTCTCTGTGTCAAATAAATAAATATATTCTTTAAAATAAAATGAAATTTTAAAAAATTTATCACATACATATGAGTAATGGTGAAATAAAACATTTTTTTTAAGATTTTATTTATTTATTTGACAGAGAGACCAGCGAGAGAGGGAACAGAAGCAGGGGGAGGGGAAGAGGGAGAAGCAGGCCCCCGCAGAGCAGGGAGCACAATGAGGGGCTCGATCCCAGGACCCTGCAATCATGACCTGAGCCGAAGGCAGTTGCTTAACCAACTGAGCCACCCAGGCGTCCCAATAAAACATTATTTACTTATCTTTTCCAGACTTACTGAGCTATACTTAATAAAAATTATGTTTTTAAAATAAAAAAAAATTGGAGGCTCTGCTAGGATAAATGAGGCAGAAAGGAGAAGTAGTGATACAGAAGACAAAATAAAATGATGGAGTATATGGGCACCTGGGTGGCTCAGTTGTTAAGTGTCTGCCTTTGGATCAGGTCATGATCCCATGGTCCTGGGATCAAGCCCCGCATCGGGCTCTCTGTTCAGCGGAAAGCTTGCTTCTTCCTCACCCACACCCTCTGCTTGTGTTCTCTCTCTTGCTGTGTCTCTCTCTGTCAAATAAATAAAATCTTTTAAAAAATTTTTTAAAAATTTAAAAAATGATGGAGAATAAACTGAGAAAAAAGAGAGATAAACAACTACTGGATCATGAGGTGAGAATTCAAGAGATAAGTGATACCATAAAGCGAAACAATAGTAGAATAATTGGGATCCCAGAAGAAGAGGAAGGGGGGTGTGGCAGAAGGTATATTTGAGAGATTATAGTGGAGAACCTCCCTAATCTGGGGAAGGAAACAGGCATTCAAATCCAGGAGGCACAGAAAACACAACCCCCTTCAACATCAATAAAAACATGTCCACACCTCGACATATAGTAGTGAAGTTTGCAAATTTCAGAGACAAAGAGAAAATCCTGAAAGCACCTCGGCACAAGAGGTCCTTAACCGACAAGGGTAGAAACATTAGACTGGCAGCAGACCTAACCATGGAGACCTGGCAGGCCAGAAAGGACTGGCATGATATATTCAGGGTGCTAAACGAGAAAAATATGCAGCCAAGAATACTTTATTTATCCAGCAAGGCTGTCATTCAAAATTGAAGGAGAGATAAAGAGTTTCCAGGACAAACAGATACTAAAACATTTGTGATCACTAAACCAGCCCTGCAAGAAATATTAAAGGGGATCCTTTACGCAAAGAGAGAGCCCCAAAGTAACAGAGACCAGCAAGGAACAGAGACAATATACAGAAACAGTGACATTACAGATCATACAATGGCACTAAATTCATATCTTTCAATAGTTACCCTGAATGTAAAAGGGCCAAATGCCCCAATCAAAAGACGCAGGGTATCAGATTAGATAAAAAAGCAAGACCCATCGATATGCTCTCGGCAAGAGACTCATTTTAGACCCAAGGACACCTCCAGATTGAAAGTGAGGGAGTGGAAAACCATTTATCATGCTAATGGACATCAAAAGAAAGCTGGGGTAGCAATCCTTATATCAGGCAAATTAGATTTTAAACCAAAGACTGTAATAAGAGATGAGGAAGGACACTATCATAATGAATTAAAGCGGTCTATCCAACAAGAAGATCTAACAATTGTAAATATTTGTGCCCCTAACATGGGAGCAGCCAATGACATAAACCAATTAATAACACAATTAAAGAAACACATTGATGATGATACAATAATATCAGTGAATGATACACTGGACAGTGGGAAACAGAACACCACGACAACCACTGGCGCATGTTTGTTCAGACTCCGAGATCTTTGAAAACTCGATTTGCTGGGTTAAAAATAAGCCAAAAGGATCAGAGTGAAATGCCCTTGGGACGTGTGTGGTCTGTTCTAAAGTACGCAGCAGAAGATGTTTTGTAGATAGGAAGCCACCTGTAAACAGCACGCTGTGCACTCCCCTCTTGGTTCCCTTGCCCTGTAAATAGCACACTGTGCATTCCCCTCTTGGTTCCCTTGTCCTGCTTTAAAGATTCTTATCATACATTCTGGACTAATTCTATGCACATGGAAGAATGTGCCTTACTAAGGTCCTGCTGTAAATCATTATAGATTTATATCGCTGTAGAAGGTATATAAGATTATGGAAAATAAACGTCGGGACCTTGGGCTGATTGCTCGGGGTCCCCTGTGCCTCGCAAAACCGTCATCTCTTTTCCTCAGTTCCTTCGCCGTCCCAGGTCCACGACTCTCTGAGGTCGACACTGGACCAGATGGACTTCACAGATATATTCAGAGCATTCCAGCCTAAAGCCACAGAATACACATTCTTCTCAAGCGCACATGGAACTTTCTCCAGAAGAGATCACATACTGGGTCACAAATAAGGTCTCAACCGGTACCAAAAGTAGGGGATCATTCCCTGCATAGTTTCAGACCACAATGCCTTGAAACTGGAACTCAATCACAAGAGGAAATTCGGAAAGAACTCAAATACGTGGAAGTTAAAGAACATCCTATTAAAGAATGAATGGGTCAACCAGGAAATTAAAGAAGAATTAAAAAAATACATGGAAACCAATGAAAATGAAAACACAACTGTTCAAAACCTTTGGGATGCAGCAAAGGCAGTCCGGGGAGGGAAGTATAGAGCAACAACAGCCTTTCTCAAGAAACAAGAAAGGTCCTAAATACACAACCTAACCTTACACCTAAAGGAGCTGGAGAAAGAACAGCAAATAAAGCCGAAACCCAGCAGGGGAAGAGAATTAATAATGATCAGAGCAGAAATTAATGAAATAGAAACCAAAAGAACAGTAGAACACAGCAACGAAACTAGGAGCTGGCTCTTTGAAAGAATTAATGGGATCGATAAACCCCTGGCCAGACTTAGCAAAAAGAAAAGAGAAAGGATCCAAATAAATAAAATCATGAATGAAAGAGGAGAGATCACAACCAACACCAAGGAAATACAAACAATTTTAAGAACGTATTAGGAATGACTATAGGCCAACAAACTAGGCAGTCTGGAAGAAATGGATGCATTCCTAGAGATGTAGAAACTACCAAAACTGAAACAGGAAGAAACAGAAAACCCGAACAGACCCACATCCAGCAAGGAAATTGAAGCAGTAATCAAAAATCTCCCAACAGGGGTGCCTGGGTGGCTCAGTCGTTAAGCATCTGCCTTCGGCTCAGGTCATGATTCCAGGTCCTGGGATCGAGCCCCACATCGGGCTCCCTGCTCCGCGGGAAGCCTGCTTCTCCCTCTCCCACTCCCCCTGCTTGTGTTCCCTCTCTCGCTGTGTCTCTCTCTCTCTCTGTTAAATAAATAAATAAAATCTTTAAAAAAAAAATCTCCCAACAAACAAAACTCCAGGGCCAGATGGCTTCCCTGGGGAGTTCTAACAAACACTTAAAGAGGAATTAATGCCTATTCCTCTGAAGCTGTTTCAAAAAATAGAAATGGAAGGAAAACTTCCAAACTCTTTCTATGAGGCCAGCATTACCTTGATCCCAAAACCAGACAAAGACCCCACCAAAAAGGAGAATTACAGACCAATATCCCTGATGAACACGGATGCAAAAATTCTCATCAAGATACTGGCCAATAGGAGCCAACAGTACATTAAGAGGATTATTCACCACAACCAAGTGGGACTTATTCCTGGGCTGCAAAGGTGGTTCAACATCTGCAAATCAACGTGATACGCTACATTAATAAAAGAAAGGACAAGAACCGTATGATCCCCTCACTGGATGCAGAAAAAGCATTTGACAAAGTACAGCATGCTTTCTTGATTAAAACTCTTCACGGTGCAGGGATAGAGGGCACATACCTCAATACCATAAAAGCCATGTATGAAAAGCCCACAGCAAATATCATTCTCAATGGGGAGAAACTGTGAGCTTTTCCCCTAAGGTCAGGAACACGGCAGGGATGTCCACTCTCACCACTGCTGTCCAACATAGTACTAGAAGTCCTAGCCTCAGCAATCAGACAATGAAAAGAAATAAAAGGCATCGGAATCGGCAAAGAAGTCAAACTCTCACTCTTCGCAGGTGACGTAATACTCTAGGTGGAAAACCCAGAAGACTCCACCCCAAAATTGCTAGAACTCATACAGGAATTCAGCAAAGTGGCAGGATATAAAATCCATGCACAGAAATCAGTTGCATTTCTATACACTAACAATGAGACAGAAGAAAAAGAAATTAAGGAGTCGAACCCATTTACAATTGCACCAAAAACCGTAAGATACCTAGGAATCAACCTAACCAAAGAGGCAAAGGATCTGTACTCTGAAAACTATAGAACACTCACGAGAGAAACTGAGGAAGACGCAAAGAAATGGAAAAACACTCCATGTTCATGGATTGGTAGCTACCGCTACCCAGAGCAATCTGTGCCTTCAATGCAGTCTCTATCAAAATACCATCAACTTGTTTCACAAAGCTGGAACAAATCATCCTAAAATTTGTATGGAACGAGAAAAGACCCCAAATAGCCAAAGGAATGTGGAAAAAGAAAACCAAAGCTGGTGGCATCACAATTCCGACCTCAAGCTCTATGACAAAGCTGTAATCATCAAGACAGTATGGTACTGGCATGAAAACAGACACATCGGCCAATGAAACAGAACAGAGAACCCAGAAACGGACCCTCAACTCTATGGTCAACTAATCTTCGACAAAACAAGAAAGAACAGCCAATGGAAAAAAGACAGTCCCTTCAACAAATGGTGTTGGGAAAAGTGGACAGCCACACGCAGAAGAATGAAACTGGACCATTTTCTTACACCATACACAAAAATACACTCAAAATGGATGTAAGACCTAAATGTGAGACAGGAACCCATCAAAATCCTGGAGGAGAACACAGGCAGCAATTTCTGTGACCTGGGCCACAGCAACTTCTTGCTAGACATGTCTCCAAAGGCAAGGGAAACAAAGACTTCATCAAGATAAAAAGCTTTTGCACAGCAAAGGAAGCAGTCGACAAAACCAAAAGATGACTGACAGAATGGGAGAAGATATTTGCAAATGACATGTCAGATAAAGGGCTGGTATGCAAAATCTATATAGAAAGAACTTATCAAACTCAACACCCAAAGAACAAATAATCCAGTCAAGAAATGGGTGGAAGACGTGAACAGACCTTTCTCCAAAGAAGACATTCAAATGGTCAACAGACACTTGAAAACATGCCCAACATCACTCGGCATCAGGGAAATAAATACAAATCAAAACCGCAATGAGATATCAGCTCACACCTGTTGGAATGGCTAAAATGAACAAGTCAGGAAACAACAGATGTTGGCAGGGATGCAGACAACGGGGAACCCTCTTACACTGCTGGTGGGAATGCAAGCTGGGACAGCCACTCTGGAAAACAGTATGGAGGTTCCTCAAAAAGTTGAAAATAGAGCTACCCAACGACCCAGCAATTGCACTACTAAGGATTTACCCCAAAGATACAAATGTAGTGATCCGAAGGGGCACCTGCACCCCAATGTTTATAGCAGCAATGTCCACAATAGCCAAACTGTGGGAAGAGCCCTGATGTCCACTGACAGATGAATGGATAAAGAAGATGTGTAGATATATACAATGGACTATTACTCAGCCAATAAAAAAATGAAATTGTGCAATGACGTGGATGGAACTAGAGGGTATTATGCCAAATAAGTCAGTCAGAGAAAGATAATTATCATTTGATTTCACTCATCTGTAGAATTTAAGAAACAAAACAGAGGAGCATAGGGGAAGGGAGGGGAAAATAAAACAAGATGAAATTAGAGTGGGAGACAAATCACAAGAGACTCTTATTCATAGGAAACAAACTGAGGGTTGCTGGAGCAGAGGAGGGGAGAAGGATGGGGTAACTGGATGATGGACATTAAGGAGGGCACCTAATGTAATTAGCACTGGGTGTTATATAAGACTGATGAATCACTGAACTCTACCTTGGAAATTAATATACTTTATGTCGGTTAACTGAATTTAAATTTAAAAAATAATATTAAAAAAAAGAAAATATAAGCCAAACCAAGATAACTTTTGATATGATTAAACAGTGACACAGGTTTTTAGATATTAAAATACTTGTTGGAAGGGAAGAACACTATTAAAAGGAAATATTACCAAAGAATAAAGGTATCTTGCAGAAACTCTTCAAGATGGACAATGAAAATTACAGTTGTTATTGTTAAAGCAACTGTTGTTATTATTTAAGGAATCATTAAAGAGTAAGTGTAATATTTTGGCAAGTATTTGTATTTAATAAAGTAAAATTACAGTTAAATCAGTTAATCAATGGTTAAAATTACCTGAAATATTACAGTCTTACCTAGTAATCTCTTTTTCTAATTCACCATTTTTCTTCATTTCTTGATCCAAACTACATTCCAGAGATTGGTTCAACTCAATCAATTTCTTTATCTGTCCATTTTCATTATCAGAGTTTGAAAAAAATTTTTAAAGAAAAATATATTTAAAAATCTAGATACTCATTCTTCTATCATAAAATATTATTTCTCATGAGTTCATAATAACGTGTTTAGAAAGGCTCATAAACTACATTTTATAAATTTTATAAATTTATAATTTTAAATTTATATAATGTAGTTTAAAATTTATAATTTTAAGTTTTATATAATATAGTTTTATAAACCTGATGCCAATAAATACAAATTTCAAATATAAGGACCTTTCTTAAAAACAGCTTAAACTGATTTTACATTTTCATCATTATTTTTTCTAGAATTGAAATTGCCAAAATTTACGTGTTAAATACAGAGGTTCTTACCCATATTAATACTAAGTGTTAATGAAAAATTTTAAAAAGTGGTTATATTTACATTTTAGTTTCTAAAGATGCCCTAGAAACATTGTCATCCATAGCTTAAGATACTCTGGGTTTTGTGAGATCATACCTTTTTAAGATAATCTCTGAAAAATTCCTATGCAGTCCCCATTACAGTTTTGTTTTTTGTTTTTTTTTAAGATTTTATTTATTTAACAAAGAGAGAGACACAGTGAGAGAGGGAACACAAGCAGGGGGAGTGGGAGAGAGATAAGCAGGCTTCCCACCGAGCAGGGAGCCCGATGCGGGGCTCGATCCCAGGACCCTGGGATCATGACCTGAGCTGAAGGCAGACGCTTAATGACTGAGCCACCCAGGCGCCCCCCCATTACAGTTTTGACGATCGTCTGACTTTAGAATGAGATACTCTCATTCCCTGCAAGCATTGCAAGCATCTCTGCAAGGTTTCAATTTCTTCTTTTCTATTAACTACCTTTCTCTTTAAATAAAGTTTAAGTCTTCTCAATATTACATAAAAACTTTTGCTTCACTCTTGCAGCTTTTTCTATCATCCTGCTTCTCCCCTTTCACTGGACTTGAGCATTCTTTAATGTGTCATCTCATCCACAGATTCATCTTTCCAACACTTAGTTTCTTCTTTTACACTAAAATTGGAGTTTCAATCCTGGAATTCCACTAAAAAATTTTGAGGGTCATCAAGGATCTTTTTTTTAAAGTCTTTATCCTGCTTTACTTCTCAGCAACAGCTGAAAACAATGACCATACCCTCCCTCTGCTCTCTAATCCCATTTTATTTCTAAAGGACAGCAACCGCTGTTAGTCCCTGACCCTTGCTATTCCTCTTATCAAATCCTCTCAGAGTTGGTTAAATCCCAAGGCTTCAAAACCAGATTCTCTAATCTACATTTCCAGCCTTGACCCCTTTACTGAGGTCATCTCTACTTTTTGATCTTCCTTCTCGTTCCTCATAGACAATATTCTCAACCACACACTCAAAAACCATTACCTGATGTGGATTACCTTTATAGACAGCTAATTTTTTTAAATTTTTTTAAAATTTATTTATTTGAAATAGAGAGTGCATGAATAGGGGAAGGAGCAGAGGGAGAGGGAGAAGCAGACTCCCAGCTGAGCAGGGCTCGATCTCAGGACCCTGAGATCATGGTCTGAGCCGAAAGCAGGCGCTTAACTGACTGAGCCACCCAGGTACCCCTAGACAGCTAATCTTGAACATTTTATGTTGACTCTTTTTGGTATTACTTTGAGTGTATTGTTATTTTGTCATCTCAGGGGGCACCCTTACCCTGAGGATGCTGACCACCATACTCTGTCTTGCTTTTCTTTTCTGATGCTAATGTTTCTCACAAGGTTCAGACTATCAATTGTTTGCCTTTGTTTTCTTTTGAATAATGTCCTATTCCATAGAGATTGGATCTTATGGAAGTCTTCTTCTGAAGTTCTTTTCAGACACATACTTGACTATATTGTTTGGAAGCTTAAGTCAGCCTAGAGCTATCTCTTCTTCCCAATCCAGACTCTTCATCTCAAAACTATGTCCATCAAATATCTTAACCCAGGTAGTCTCTGGCCTGGGGATTCATGAGATAAAATCCTTCTAGAGATGTTAGGACTATGGACTGAGTTGGTTGAAAGCTAAGTGTTTGTTTCACAGGGTAGACCTTGAAGTGGCTAATAATTTTATGTCATAACCCTAAGTCATTTCCATTGGAATCTACAGAATACCTACGGATATTCTTACAAACTTTACAAGATTTGATACCTTCCTTAATAGATTTCTATATGACACCGTAGGGGGACAACTCCTGGCATTCTCATTCACATATTGTCATGTTACTTGCTCAATGAAAAGTATAGTAATACAATGTGACTAATTTATAGGAAATCTAGAAAAAAAATAATTTTCGATGTTTCTTTGGCCACAAAAAGGACCAGTCAACAGAATGTGCTAGTTCCCCTGATAGGTATAGCTGTATAATGAATTTTGCAAGTATGCAGCTTTTGTGACTAAAAGAAACTAGTGGTGGGTGCATCTACCTCATTGTTCCAACTTAGGACTCACAATGCATCTTAAATCATTGGTAGCCTCTTCTATGAGGGAGGGTATAAATGGCATGATAATCCGGTTCTGCTTGGTAAATAGTTATATAGTTTTCACTACATATCAATAAGTTGGAATCCTGGATTGCACATTAATCTTTTCTGAGATTCAATTGTTAAATCTCTGAAAGGCTGATTAACTCAAATTAATGAAAAAAAAAAAATAGTTCCTGAACTTGCAGTGAATGCTACGAGCACTATGTTACTATGTAAGGCCCTGATTGAGCAGTCATTTCCACTGTTTCACTGGCATCTCTTTTCCTTTTCAAAATCCAACAAAGAGAAAAATATATTCCTTTGAGAAAAATGTTTACGTAATGACCTAGTAGTCATTCTTGATGAAGACAACAAATTACAAATTTATAATTACAAATCACAACAAATTATCATGAAAGTAATCCATTCTCAAATCTCACTGAAGGGTTTAGATTACAAGAGAAAGTCAGAATTCAAGATCAAATTATGACTCAAAGTTTCGGAATTTTTAAACATACTGAAAAATATTAGTAGGGACTCAGACGTTTGTATGCCAATATTCACAGCAGCATTATTAACAATAGCCAAAAGGTGGAAAAACTCAATTGTCCACTGCCAGATAGATAAATAAAATGTGGTATGTATAAAATATTGGTTATCTTAGACTACCACAATCTTTTTTATTACAATCTTACTATAAAAATTATTAATTTATGAAGTCAGTCAACTTCATCTATAAAGAGGAATTATACTACCAGTAGCAAGTAGCAACAATATGAATACAGTAAACATTTTTATTAGTGAGAATTTTCATATTATCCAAAATAGTCTTATATACTACTACTAGAGAAATAAAAATTCCTTTTCAGTAGGACAGAAATTAAGAGACTGACTTACCGAACTTGTACTTAACAGGTTTTCCTGAAGTTGTTCAATTTTGCCCGCTTGTTGTTTTTTTTTGTTTGTTTGTTTTTTGATTTTTTTTTTTTTTTTTTTTTTTTTGAGAGAGAGAGAAGGAGAAGGGTGAGGGTCAGAGGGAGAAGCAGACTCCCTGCCGAGCAGGGAGCCCGATTGCCCGCTTGTTTTTTGAGTATAACTTTTAACTTAGCATTTTCAACTTCAAGCCTAAAATGAATATTTTAAAATTATTCTCACACATAAATTTTAAAAGTACCGTATAATTTCTAAACAAACATCTGAAGGTCTTACATAAATTCTTAAAATTTTAAAAAGTAGAAGATCTGGCAATTGTGCCATTTTTCTGGTTGTGTTTTATAGTTAATGTGCAAAATTTAAAGATAATATGCAAAATTAATGCATTTCCAAATAGTGCAAAGCTGAAATTTTTATCCAGCTTAACAAGAATATACTTATTATCATAACTGATATATTTCTCATCCTACACTGCTTCTCTGCTTTATAAATACTCATTTTCTGTGCTGCTTTAAATTGTACTTTTGCACGTGATCTTTCGATGTCTCAATACATCTTATAGCCTCTGCATGTCGATCTTGTGCTTCTTGCAACTCCTGGCAATCTAGTATAAAACAACCATCAGCTGTTTTTGTAAATAAAATGTTAGTGGACACAGCCACACTCTCCTCTACATACTGATTTATGGCTACAGCAGATTGAACTGCTGCCACAGAGACCTATGGCCTACAAAGCCTAAAATATTTACAGGGAGTCTGTTTCTCTCTCTCTCTCTCTCCCTCTGCCCTTCCCCACTGTTCCTTCTCTCTCTCAAATAAATAAAATCTTAAAATAAAATAAAATATTTACAATCCCCCTACAGAAAAGTTTGCTGACTTCTCTAGTTACTAAAATGTCACGTTTTTAATGTTTTTAAATTATATTTTATCAGCTAAACCTACCAATTTATATATTAGTCAAAGGGAGAAAGATAGGAAATTACCTTATGGTAAACATTTCTATTTTTGTATTCTAAGTACCACATCAATTATAGTTTTAAATATTCACATATGTGAATGACCATGGCTGTTCCAGTAATTATAAAAGTTAACATGTTGCTTTCAGTGACAACTAGATATTTCATGGAATAGTATGAGAGGCATTATCTTTGTAGGAACCAGAATGCCTGGGGTCTGAATCCCAACTCACTGGGCATTAGCTGTGTGACCTGGAACAAATTACTTAAAATTTCTGTGTCTCAGCTTCTTCTCTGTAAAATGAAGATAATAATAGTATCTACCACACTGGCATGTTGGGAAGATTAATTTAGGAAATTTACATGAACTATTTTTTTAATTTTTATTTTTTAAAGATTGTATTTATTTGACAGAGAGAGAGAGACAGCGAGAGACGGAACACAAGCAGGGGGAGTGGGAGAGGGAGAAGCAGGCTTCCTGCAGAGCAGAGAGCCCAATGCCACACTTGATCCCAGGACCCTGGGATCATGACCTGAGCCAAAGGCAGACACTTAACAACTGAGCCACCCAGGTGCCCCTATACATGAACTATTTAGAAGGGCATGCGGCACACACCAAATTCTGTCTGCAATTAGCATTATTATTGTTGCTGTAGGTTATGTTCTAATAATATTTCATATTTTAGGCAGATGGCAGGCCAATGAAAGTGGTCTCTTATACAAGTTACACTGAAATCGTTCTTCACACCACTTAAAGTGGCAGCAAATGGGGAGCATGAGGCCCAGAATACATCCTCCATACTTCAAAAAACTTTTACCAATTCCACTAGCTAACAGTACTTTTTTCCACTTATAATAATTTTAACTTACTGCCTCTCTATACTACTCAGTGGACAATCTCATGGACTACAGGGTAAATAGTACCTCCTAGACTGAGTAATAAATATTTACATGACCATCAGAGGCAAGGTAAAGCCACTGACGTGGAAATAATGGACTCTTGCTAAATCAACATTCCCAAATCATTTCATGTTTATATTATCTTAACAACTGTCTCTGTTACACTGCTTTGGCAAGTACTCTGATGAATACATTAAGGCTATGTGATATGGCATATCAGAAAAAACTGTCCCCAGGGGCGGCTGGCTGGCTCAGTGGGAAGAACGTGACTCTTGACTTTGGGCTCATGAGTTCAAGCCCCACGATGGGTGTAGAAATTACATAAATAAATACACAAACAAACTTTAAAAAAGAAAGGTAAAAAAAGAAAAAAGAAAAGCTGTGCCCGGAGCTTTATACTTGGTAAAGTAATCTCAGCACTGGCTGCAAAATGAAGAAAGGCAAATTTAGACTGTTTTTCCACAGTGAGGGGGATAAAACAAGCATTTGAGTGAACACTTCTCCTCTGTCAGATTAAATGCTTTCAATTTTACATTTAATTGCTTAAAATACATTTAGAATAAAAGCTTTGTTATGTCAATGGTTTTAATCAGAAATTATTGATATGTTATAAAGTACTTAATTTTATCCTAAAAACTGTCAAGTTAAAATATTCTCAATTTATACAAGGATAGGCACCATGCATATCCCATATTTTCCCCCTTAGATAAAGGTGTACTTAGAAAGACAAAATTATCTCTCATGAAAAAAATAAAACCAATGTAAAATAAAGGACTAAATTGTTCTGCATAGACTAGATGAGACAAGTGTGAAGAGAGTAAAGTCAGTGGGAATTAGAATAGTCAGAGAGAGCTTCATGGAGAATGAGAGACTATGAGCCAGGTCTGAATAGTGTAGGATTAGGCAAGAGGAAGGGAAACTAAAAGGACAGAAAGGACAGCATGAGGAAAAGGCTGAGAGATGGTGAAATCAACCCAATTAACTCAGAGGATAAAATCTGATGGCAGGGAAATAAAAACAGATGTCCAGACAATAATTAAATCAACGTTCAGAGCAGCATTATTAATGGCCATAAAGTGGGAAACAACCCAAAGGTGTATCAAATGATGAATGAACAAGGGTTTTGGCCCACAGTGGAGTACTGTTTGACAAAAAAAAAAAAAAAAAAAGAAGCACTGATATATGCTGTAACACAGATGAACCCTGAAAACATTAAGTGAAAGAAGCTAGTCACAAAGGACCACACATTGTGTGACCCCCTTTATATGAAATATTCAGAATAGGCAACTCTATAGAGGCTGGAAGTAGACTGCTGGTTGCCTGAGGCTGGGGGCTCAAGGGCTAAGGGTTTCTTTTCAGGGTGATGAAAATGTTCTACTTGATGGCAGTGATAGTTGCACAACCCTATGAATATGATCAGAAACACTGAACTATACATGTTAACTGGGTGAATTGTATGGTATGTGCATTATATCTCAATAAAGTTTTTAAAAAATCCAATGGGGGTGCCTGGGTGGCTCAGTCATTAAGCAGCTGCCTTCGGCTCAGGTCATGGTCCCAGGGTCCTGGGATCAAGCCCCACATCAGGCTCCTTGCTCGGCGGGAAGCCTGCTTCTCCTTCACCCCCTCCCCCTGCTTGTGTTCCCTCTCTCGCTGTGTCTCTGTCTGTCAAATAAATAAAATCTTAAAAAAAAAAAAATCCCATGGCAGGACCCATTCTTAATTTCTTAATTCTCTCTTTTGGGTGTATATACTACACATGATCTGAATATTTCTATGCATGTACAATATATCTAAAAGGAAAAGAAAATGAAGGAAATGCCTAAGTTCAACTGGTTTGTAAAATGACTTTTCTGTACAAGTTATCCTTAAATCAGTACAGATTCTATATCCGTTCACAAAAGTGAACATGAGAAATAAGACCATTTTCTGAAACATTCCATTAAAGATTATCTTCTGATTTTGTATGGCTCACCTCATCATGGTAACAGAGATATCATTAAAAAACATTGCACCTGGGTGGCTCAGTTGGTTAAGCATCCAACTCATGATTTCAGCTCAGGATCATGGAATCGAGCTAGTGTGGGGCTCTGTGCTGGGCAGGGAGTCTGCTCGAGATTCTCTCCCTCTCCCTCTGCCTCTCCCCCCACTCATGTGTGTGCATGCGCACGCACTCTCGCTCTCTCTCAAATATTACATAAATCTTTAAAAACATTGTTTAGTAGGGAAAAAAAAGTCCCTCAATTTCTGTGAGGAATGATGCATAAGTCTCAACTTTCCTAAGGGTAAATAATGTAAGGAAAAAAATGTATAACACAAATAGCAGAATGAAAGTCAAAGTTTAAGAAATAAGTGCATTGTGAAGATACTAAAATTACACTAAATTATAATGAAAATACAAAAGAAAATGGTCCATGGAAATTAGCATCCTAAAACACTTTATATTAACCTGCTACAGATTAACTGTTGACATGCTACATTTAATACATACCTGACTTCTGATTTGACCTAATTTCTTCCTCAAATTCTGTGTCTCATCTTCTAAATTAATACGGCAACGTGATGTAACCTCCAGCGAAGCCTCTGACATAGATTGTTTTTTTAGGGCATCAACCAGTTCTAGTTGAAGGTGTCTCACAGCTACCCAATAAGACATTTCTGCTACTGATTTTATAAATTATCTTACTATTAAGTTATGTTAATAATATATAAAACTCTAACATATGTACTTTGAAAAATATCACCACATACAGGTGCTATCCTCCTGCCTAGTCAGTGTTATGTTACTTAGATAATTAATTCAGCCCCACTCTCCATTCCTTGTTGATGAATCTGCAAAGCTTCCCACCCTACTGAAGTCTCAAAAAGAAATGGGTATATAGGTGGGCCTAGCACTGGTAAATTCTACATGATGACATGGTTTCCCTCTTTTTTATTAGAGGCTTAAATTAATGTCAAAGTTCCTCACATATTCAATCCTCTGCTCAAATCCTTCCAATAGATTACGATCTCAGAACAAAAGTGAAGTCATGCTAATGGGCTTCAAGGCCCTAGATAACCTGGCTTTCACCTCCCTCCCTGACCTCCATTCCTGCTACAATACAAGAATCCTGCCACCCCTCATTAGTCTGAAAATGGAGATCCAATGCCAAATTAATATATTACAGATACAATTCTCTTTGTATGGGACAAACTTATGCCCAAATGATAGTCATTGAGCTTTGAAATAAGCAAATTATTTGTAAAATTGCCTTTTAAAATTATAAATAGTAGTGGGAAGATTAAATCAAACAGTTTTGCTAAAGCTCTCCACAGTTGTCCCAAATTACGATTTAATGAAAAGTGCCTGCAAAGGGTTAAAAGGTCATAAGATACATGATTTCAGACTAAAAATTCAAATTTATATAAATAAAAATAAAATTATTTCAACCTAAAATGTATAAAAAGCTACCAAAGGAAAAGTACTGAGATACAGCGTCTACACTTCAGTTCATGTGGGAAATCTGGAGTAAACCGTCAAGTGAATCCACTTAATTGAATCTCAATTTCAACATGCTCATTGCAGGTATGAACATTTCTATTTATCTATTCATCATGGTATTAAAATGTGGTGACAAAGATTAAAATTATTATTTTAGCAGTATAAGACTAAATTATTAGTATCAGCCTTCTATTCACAATTTATAACTTAACCTCTTAAACTTTCATAGATGACACAACAATTTTATTCAAATTAAAGCCCC